GTTAGTTCCAACTCATAGAAGTCCTGTATTGGGTGGATAGGGCTGTAAATCTTTGCAGGAGCAGAAAATCTCATCTTTCTCCCAATAAAGACTATATACTACAAGATTACACTGAAATGTTTCTGCTATGAACTAGAATTTTTTCAGTGCTTTTCTACAACCTTACTCTGGTAGCATAGGTGACAGGTTGGGCTGCTAAGGTTGGGTCAGTAGTGCAAAACTACCAGGTGTTCTGCATGAGAAAGATGAGGCTTACTGCTCCCTTAAAGATTTACAGCCTCAGAAACCCTACACAGGGTTGCTGAGTCAGAACCAACTCCAAGACACACCCCCACCACCGATGTATAAATAGTAAACCTGAAATTTAAAATAGATATTCTATTATACGAAATTTAAAAAGCTGTTCTCCCCCTCCTTTTCCTTACTTATAACCTTGGTCTTTCCCATTTTTTAAGAAACTATACTAGAAGAACCAGAAAGGTAATGCATGCAGAGAAGAATATAACTTTTGACAACATGGTACAATAAAATTGATATCTGAACTACCAGGTTTGAGAACTGGAAAAAAATATTTGAAGTAAGTCACAACCATATTTTCTCTATTTTTACAACATGCTACCTCTAATATGAGTACTTTTGTGACACTGTAGGATAATGCACTGGACTTCTAATTGCAAGATGAGTGGTTCAAACTCATCAGCCACTCCTTGTAAACCCTTCCCCGGATTGTTATGAGTCAGAACAGATTTGATAGCATTCAACAACAACCTCTAATCAGTTTCTTCCTGAAAACCAAAGAAACAGATTCATGATATCCCCCCATCGTGGCAAATCCATAACATTAGTGCTTATTATGCTTAAAGACCACTTTGCTTTTCATTATTTTCTTAATATAACCTCATATGAAACAAACTTAATACATCAGTTTTAGGAATTCCGCTTCAGTAATACTACGTTAGTACACTTTTTATGTAATGTCATTGTTAAACAGCATGAAGTCAGTTCTGAATCATAGTGACCCCATAGAGGATTTCCAAGCAGTGGCTGATGTGTTTGAACAACGGACATGGTGGTTAGCCATCAAATGATTATCCTACAGCACCACACCAGGAAATAATAAGTGAACCCAAGAATAAGTAGAAGTTTCATAATCAGGCTTAAGTATTTGAAATACAAATACTACAGTCATCTGATAAAATTATTTTCTCCTTGCAGATTAAGTATTTCTAACCTCTACTTTCCCCACATCTACGGAAACAATGCAGCAAAATCAGACTGTACCTGAGTTCATTCTCCTAGGATTGACACAAGATCCTGTGAGGCAGAAAATGGTGTTCATAATTTTCTTGATTTTCTACACTGCAACTGTGGTGGGAAACTTGCTCATTATTGTGATCATCAAGGTCAGCAGAACACTTGGGAGTCCCATGTACTTCTTCCTTTTTTATTTGTCCCTTACTGACACTTGCTTTTCGACTTCGACAGCACCTAGACTAATTATTGATTCTCTCTCTGCAAAGAAAGTTATATCCTACAATGAGTGCATGACACAAGTCTTTGCACTGCATTTATTTGGTGGCATGGAGATCTTTGTCCTTACTCTCATGGCTGTTGATCGCTATGTGGCCATCTGTAAGCCCTTGCGGTACCCGACCATTATGAGACGGCAGGTCTGCATTGTCTTGATTATTCTTGCCTGGATAGGGTCTTTTATACATTCGACATCTCAGATTCTCCTGGCCTTGAAACTGCCATTCTGTGGACCCAATTTGATTGATCATTACTGTTGTGATTTGCAGCCTTTGTTAAAACTTGCCTGTATGGACACTTATGTGATCAACCTACTGTTTGTGTTTGATAGTGGGGCCCTTTGCTCAAGCAGTTTCTTGCTTCTGATGATCTCATATTTTGTTATCTTGCATTCACTGAGAAACCACAGTGCGGAAGGGAGAAAAAAAGCCCTTTCCACTTGCACCACTCACATTATTGTTGTCATCTTGTTCTTTGGTCCATGTATATTCATATATACACGACCATCAGCCTCTTTCTCCATAGACAAGATGGTGGCAGTATTTTATACCATCGGGACACCCTTTCTCAACCCACTTATCTACACACTCAGGAATGCAGAAGTGAAAAATGCCATGAGAAAGCTATGGAGTGTCAAAATTACCTCAGAAAGCAAATGGTGAAATGTAGCTCCAATGACATAGTCAGTAATGTGACTGCATCTGTATACAACAACTATACTAGTCTATGATTATTGTATGATAGCCAATTTTATATAAGGTGGTAAGTTATACTCTTTTATATAATTTACAGTCAAAATGAATGCCTGGGTTCATTGTTGTTTCAGAACTAGATACATTGGCAGAATGAATCTGATAGATAATTATGGACTAAGATAACATTTGTTGCTGTTGTGAAGTGCCATTGAGTCTAGTCCAACCCATAGTGACCCTATATAGGGTTTCCAAGGATGACATTAGCCACAATCAATCTTTTAATAGAGCTCAATGATGGCATAGCTGACTATGAATTATCTGATAGGACTTCAAAAGTTTGTGAAAAATAGAATTAAAGATTAATAGAATATATCCACAAATATTTGAAGGCTCCTGATACGTCATATGGAATCCTGCTGTGGTGCTGTGGGTTAATGTGCTGGACTGAAGGTCAGTTTGAACCACAAAGTCATCAGTTCAGGCTCTCCAGCTGTTCCTTGGATACCCTATACACTCTGAGTCAGATCCAACTGGAGAGCACACAACAGCACCAACAACATACATCATAAAAAAACTCTGGTAGCATAATGATTAAGTGTCAGGCTGCTAACTTCTAGATCAGCGGTAAGAAACTATCATGGGAGAAAGATGAGGCTTTCTGGTCACGTAAAGATTTACAGCCTTGGAGACCCTATACAGGGTCAGTATGAGTGAGAACCAACTGCACAGCACACCACCATGTCCACCATTATTCATAATTCTTAATTGGATAAGATCAACATTCATACAATCACAGCCACCAAAAGTTACGGGAATCTATTAACAAAGTGCAACTAATATTCTGTCTAAAACACATTTAAAAATACTTACCCAAATTCCTTACTGTTATCTCTCAGTCAACTGAATTCTGTATATTCAGACCATCCATTGTATTTAATCATTAGTTTGTCTTTAAAGGATTGCTGATTAATAATCACAGATTTTTTTTTCATTTGTTCTTTGATGTACTGATATTTTAACTAAATTAGTTCTTATTATTTCTTTTGAATTGAAGATAGTAGAGTTTAGAACATAGTTTTATCATCTTAAAAACAGCTAAGACAAAATGTATAAAAAATATTTTAAAATCCATGTAAAATACATAAAATACATGTATTTAATTCTAGTGGCTGTGTACTTTATAGTTATGTCTGAATGAAATATTATTTGGAAGAGCAGAATGTAAACTTATGTAACAATGCAAGAATAGGACTTCAAAATATCTATATGGGATCAAACTGACAGCATCAACACCAAATTTTATATAGGGAATTTAGGAGGCTGTGAGTTTACGTTAATGGCACAGGAACTGTGAAGGGAGAAAATAAATGGTTGCAGAATATAAGAATGTAATCAGATAATCAAACTGTATATGTAGATGTTGTTGAATTAGTTCCTGTTCTGCTGTATATGCTCAACAACAAAAATAAATCTTTGTTTTTTAATTACTATGCCTCTGAAGCCAAAAGAAATCAAATTCCCTGGTATATTTCTAAACATATCTTTGCTCAGGGCTCTGAGATTCCTTTCATTTTCTGCCTCTGACCTTACTTTCTATCTTTACATTAGCCTGGCTTAGACAATGTTTCTCTGCAAATCCTGAAATGCTATGTTTCACACAGAGCAGTTCATAGAAAACCTTCCAACTTTGCTCACAAATCTTTCTTAATAGGAACCAATAGTGTTATCCTGGATTAATATTAGATCAACCATTAGGAAATCTGAGATGAAGGACAAGGAGAAGTAAAATCAGACATTTACAGCCTAAATATGGACAATGATCAAAAGCAACCTAGGTGTGTAGAAGCTGTTGTTGCTGGTAGGTGCCGTCGAGTAAGCTCTGAATCATAGCAACCCTAGACTAGGTAAGACACAATGAAACACCACCTGATCCTGGGGCAGCCTCAGAATTGCTGTAACGATTGAGCCATTGCAGCCACTGAGCCAATGGATGCCATTGTGGGTCTCCCCCTTTTTCACTGACCCTCCACTTTACCAAGCATAATATCCTACTCAGGAACTGGTCCCTCCTGACAGTATGTCTGAAGTATAAGAAAACATTCTGGTCATTTTGATTCTAAGGAACATTCTGATTGTACTTCTTCCAACACAGATTTTTTTGCACTTCTGGTAGTCCATACCACTTCTAATATTTTTTTCCAACATCATCACTGAAATGCACCAATGCTACTACAATATTCCTTGTTTATTTTCCAACTTTCTCATGCATATGAGGCTACTGAAAATACCATGACTTAAATCAGACACTCTTTAATCTTCAAACTGACATCTTTGTTCTTGAACACTCTAAAGATGTCTTGAGCAAAAGATTTGCCTAATACAATAACTCATTTGATTTCTTGACTGATGCTTCCATTAGTGTTATTGGATCCAAGAAAAATGAAATATTTGATAATTTAAAACATTGTTCTATTTATAATGATGTTATTTATTGTTCCAGTGGTGAAAAAATTTTTTTTTTTTTTTTTTTTTTTTTTTACATTGAGATGCAACCAATACTGAAAGCTGTGGTCTTTAATCTTCATCAGTATTTTAAGTTATCTTTGCTTTCAGCAAGCAAGAATGTATAATCTGCATTTCCTGGGTTGTTAATGAGTCTTCTTGCAATCCTGATGTGACGTTCTATTTCATATAATTCTGCTTCTCAGACTATTTGCTCAGCATACAGATTGAATAAACATGGTGAAAGAATACAACCTGTCTGCACACCTTTTCTAATTTCAAACCATTCTGTGACCCTTGTTCTGTTCAAATCACTGCCTCTTGGTCTGTGAACAGGTTCCTCATGAGCACAATAAAGTGTTTCATATTACTCATTCTTCACAATGTTGTTCATAACTTATCATAATCCATACAATGGAAGACTTTGCATAGTAAATAAGTAGAGGTAAACATATTTTTTGTATTCTCTGCTTTCAGCCAAAATCCATCTGAAATCCACCAAGATATCCTTCATTCCATGTCCTATTCTGAATCCAGAATGAACCACTGACTGTTCCATATCAATGTACTGTTGCAGACTTTTATGCATTAAAATTTTACCTGCATATGATATTAATGATATTAATGGTATTGTCTGATGGCTTCCACTTTCCGATGGGTCACCTCTCTGTGGAGTGGACACAAATATGGCTCTCTTCCAAACCGTTGGCCAGGTAGCTGTCTTCAAATTTCTTTGTATAGGGGAGTGAGTATCTCCATTGTTGCAACAGTTTATTGATGGATTTCAATTTGTATTTCATCAATTCTTTGAACCTGGTCCTTTGCCGATGTCTTCAGTGCACCTTTGACTCCTTCCTTCTGTACCACTGGTTCTTGATCATATGCTATCTCTTGAAATGACTGAAAAACTACCGTTTCTTTTTGGTACAGTGACTCTGTATATACCTTTTCTTCTCTGGATGCTTTCTGCAACATTCAATTTTTTGTCCATAGACATCTTCAATATTACAAGTTGAGGCTTTAATTTTTTACTTGAATTCCCTGTTAAACTCATTTACCTCCTCACTTCTTCCATTTTCTTTGTTATCTCTACACTAGAGAGCAAGTTTCAGAGTTTCTTCTGACATCCATTTTGGTCTTTTCTTTCTTCCTTGTCTTCTTAATGACCTTTTGCTTTCTTCCTGTTTGATACTCTTGCTGTCATCCCACAACTTCTGGTTCATTCTCCTAGGATTGACACAAGATCCTGTGAGGCAGAAAATGGTGTTCATAACTTTCTTGATTTTCTACACTGCAACTGTGGTGGGAAACTTGTTCATTATTGTGATCATCAAGGTCAGCCGAACACTTGGGAGTCCCATGTACTTCTTCCTTTTTTATTTGTCCTTAACTGATACATGCTTTTCGACTTCGACAGCTCCTGGACTAATTATTGATTTTCTTTCTGAAAAGAAAACTATATCCTACAATGAATGCATGACACAAGTCTTTGCATTGAATTTGGCAACATGGAGATCTTTGTCCTTATCTTCATGGCTGCTGATCACTATGTGGCCATCTGTAAGTCTTTGTGGTACCTGACCATTATGAGAAAGCAGGTCTGCATCATCTTGATTATTCTTGCCTAGATAGGGTCTTTTATACATTCTATATCTCAGATTGTCCTGGCCTTGAAACTGCCATTGTGTGGACCTAATTTGATTGATCATTATTGTTGTGATTTGCAACCTTTGTTAAAATTTGCCTGTATAGACACTTACATGATCAACCTACTGTTTGTGTTCAATAGTGGGACCCTTTGCTCCAGCAGTTTCTTGTTTCTGATGGTCTCATACTTTGTTATCTTGTATTCACTGAGAATCCACAGTGCAGAAGGGAGAAAAAAAAAAAAAAAAAAACCCTTTCCACTTGCGTCACTCACATCACTGTAGTCATCATATTGCTTGTTCCATATATATTCATATATACATGACCATCAGTTTCTTTCCCCATAGACAAGATGGTGACAGTATTTAATATCACTGGAACACCCTTTCTCAACCCACTCGTGTACACACTCAAGAATGCACAAGTGAAAAATGCCATGAGAAACTACAGAGTGTCAAAATTACCTCAGAAAGCACATGGTGAAATGTGGCTCCAATGACATATTCAGTAACGTGATTGCATCTGTATGACAACAACTATACTAGTCTATGATTATTGTATTATAGCCAATTTTTATAAGGTTGAAATTTATACTTTTTTATAGTTTACAGTCAAAATCAATGCCTGGATGCATTGTTGTTTCAGAACTAGATACATTGGCAGAATAAGTCTGATAGATAGTTATGGACCAAGGCAATAGTAGCCACAATCAATCTTTTCAATGAGCTCAATTCTTGCATGTTGTTGTTGTTGTTAAGTGCCGTCGAGTCGGTTCCGACCCATAGCGACCCTGTACAGGGTTTCCGAGGGTGTAAATC